TCAGGTTCTGAAGTTGAGGAGTCATTGCCTGATCTTGATACGTCACCATACTCATGCTTTCCAAGTGGATAGGGAGGTTGACAACTGAATGGAAGAACCTTGAGTAGGAAAGCTAAACAGTCGCATACATGCCTCTACGGGTGAGAGGTAGCGGCCGGTCATGTACTGAAGAATCTCGTTTGCTTGGATCTCCTCTCCTTCAATGGTGATCGTTGTCATATCAGAATTCTTGTACACGACTTGTAGATATACTTGACGGCCTTGTTCGTAGCACATACCTTCACGTTGATGTGGCAGATATACTTTTGCGAAAGATATGGGTTGTAAGGCACGATCCACTTGTTTATCGTGGCATTATCCCACATCTTTCCCTTATGGACAAGATTTTCTTTCTGCGCGGACGACGCATATACGCAGGGTATTTATCCTCCGCCATCACTGTTTCATCTGCGAACGCTTTCGGAAACTTCTTCGAGCATTTCCCATTCTTCACACAGGGACAGTTGGGATTTTGTTGCCCACAGGGACCGTGCAGCATATTTGAAATGACCGTTTCATATAGCTGAGGATGCTTTTCTTTGTCCGGTAGCTCTGTAGATACCAACCTGTCGACAGCCTCCGCCGATACGGGTTTGTCTTCTGGACGCAAAATCAGAAGAATATGAGCGTGTGGTAGACCACGTTTTGGTACTCCACCACATGGACCTTGGCAGCTACAACCCCCAGTACGCCCTTGTCGAGGTCCTGGTTGAGCGCTTTCAGTTTTTGCATAAACACACGCGCTACGAGATCAGGTCGATCGGAGGCCTGCTCCCCACGACTGAGGGTTTCCTTGATTTCAGGCCAGTTCGGGTTACACGTCATCGTGATGAACAAATTGGGTGCACCTGTCTCTCGAACAATAGCTATTGCGTCCAAGAAGCGCTGGTACATATATCGTGGACCACCAGTAAACGTAGGAGGTATAATAGCCTTGCGACCAAGATTACTCCCTTTAGGTTCGGTTGCAGCCACTCCTCTCTCACGGGAATGATTTGATCAAGCTACTGATCACTTACAAGTCACCGAAGGGGTGCTCCGTCACACGTGTCCGGCTCTGGATCGGGCGAAGCAGATCTGCTGGTCGCCAAACAAGTCGCGGCCATAGTCTCGCCAGATCTGTCGTCATCGGATCTGCAAACCAAGTTGGATCAACAGACAGCAGAGCGCGTCGCACTCCAAGATCGTTTCGATCAAGTCCCGAAGGAGCGCGATACGTTGAACGCGCAAGTCCAGACCAAGGATCGCGAGGCTGATGTACTTCGGGATCAGATCCAAGAGAGGACTATGGAGTTCAAGCGGGAGAAGTCGCGTTGTGAGGTTCTGCGCGTCAATCTTGCCGGCGCAGCTAAACGCGAGAAGTGTATCGCGACGCGGGCGAAAATCTGAGTACGTCGCTTTGTTCCGGATCTGGATCACACCACTTCACTAACTCTCTTCCCTTCTTGCAGAACATGATGTCACTGTGGATCGGACTGCATACGCTGACGCGGAACGCTCGATCACGGAGCAAAAGACCCAGATCTTGACGTTAAATCGTCGACTGGCCAGTCTCGATCGAGAGCGCACACATCTGCGACGCAAACTGCGGAAGGCGCTCGAGATGTTATCTACTGTGGCCGCCGGGATGGGATCAAGCCCTCCCACTACTAAACTTTGTCTCGACACCGACTCACCTGAAGATCAGTCTGAGAGTCCTCCTGAAGATCAAGGGAAGTCAGATCAAGAGAAGCCGGATCGAGAGAGCCCGGATCAAGACAAGCCTAGCCAAGAAAATTCAGATCAAGATATGTCGGATCAAGACAAGCCGATCCAAGAAAATTCAGATCAAGACATGTCGGATCAAGGCAACTCGGAGCAAGACAAATCAGATCCCGACCAACGCAACCGTGATCCTGACTACATGCCCACACCCAACGGATCTGACGGCTCTTCCTCTGCCGACAAACATCAGGATCTTCCCCCGGGTAAGCGGTCTCGTGGTTCTTCCCCTTCTCGCGATGCAGATCGTCCCTCGAAGAGAACCCCCCCCGGATGACCGAAGACCACAAGAAGGATCTGGACCGCGAAGAGGATCAAGATGTTATGACATGGGTGGAGGCTCAGATGTTGAGGAGACGCCGGATCCGGATCCTGCTCTGCTCGACGAACTGTTGGAGAAGGATCGTGGGGCTGCCAGTCCCGTTCCGACCTCTGAACTGCGCTACCTGTCCTACGAGAAGGACGGATCCAAGACGTCTGACGTCCCCGCGAGCTCAGATCTCGCCTCCAAGTCCAAGTCCAAGTCTAAATCTCGATCGTATGGCGATCCTAAGCCCTCCAAGGACGCGGATCTGGAGGCGGAAGATCAAGAGTCAGAAGCTGACATCTCGGCCGATGGTGATAACGATGACACTTTGGATGACATGTTGCAGGCCCAGACACTCATGGCTCTTTCCCGATCTAGGCCCGAGCAGAGGCGACGTGATCACGCTGCTCCTCACCGCGCCGGGGCTGGTAGAGCTGGAGATCCTGATCAGGCGGCGACTCTGATGGCGAGGTGGCGGTGGTGGATCTCCTGTAGATCAGGCCGGAATGCCTCTCGTTTCCGCGATGTTCCCACGTCGTCAGTTTGCTCCTGATCATGTGTGTATTCCCGGTCGCCAGCAGACCCGCCAATACAACATCGCTGACGTGGATCCATGAGGATCAATACCCTTACGATCATGACCATGACCCTAGAAGTGCTGTCACGTGCGTTGCCGTTTCGCCCTGAGTGGATCTTTCCCAGTCATGTTCCTCGAATGACTACTCCAAGATCGGATCAATACTGCAGCCACTCGATCACGGGCCAGAACGCCCGCGACCTCATGGATGCTCTTCCCTGGAATGTACTCTCTGGCGCCAACATTCCCGAGCCCATGTCGTTCGAGATCCCACTCGACGGTCGCTTGGGATTCCTGATCGAGGGTATTCGGCGGTCGAGTTCCAGGATCTGATCGCTAACTGGGAGTCGACGCACCGCTTTGCAGTCTCGCCGGCGTTGATCCGCAGTGATCCATATCTGGCGCTCTTCGTTGTGGAGAGGAAGAACCGTCGATCTCACGCTGGCGCTAGGTGGAAGCAGATCCTGCGATTGTTTTTGAACGCCATGCGCGAGGACTGGTGTGATCTGGATCTGTTGCTGGATCCCTATTTTCTACATTTTCCCAAGCGAACGGATGAAGTGGCTTGGTATCCCAGGATCGAGGCTCGCAGTGCCAACCTCGCTGCACCGTCGCGAGCCTGCAGATCTGATCGAGGCTCTCGCTGAGTGTGAAGCCGCAGATCTATGGCGTACTCACTACCGACTGCACCATGCGGGTCATCCCGCTCGCCGGATCGCGCGTCTTGCCGGTACCTTTTTCAACACGGCAGCTCAACACCAACGCGCCGTCTCTTCCTCATCAGCCGTGATCCTGACAACTCTCCATGCGTTCCTTCCAGATCAGCTTCGTTAATCGTAATGCATGTCATTTTCTCCGGATCTGGGTCCGTCATTGTCTTTTAATTCCCTTAGGTTTTCAAACCACGTTAATTCGTACGGATCTCCGCTCTAGTACCTCCGCACTTGCCGTCCTCCATTTGATCCACAATTTCCCAGATAATACAATCCTAGATCCATAATCGAAATTATTTCCTGCTCACTCCATGTTCATTTCTGAATCCATCTCTTTCCGCTCCGATCCTCCATCAACATGTCATCATATACAAAGTCACGTAAACCCTGCCCTCCGATCTCCAACCTCCTCGCAGATCCATCAACCTTCGACCACACCAATGGACAACCCACCGGTGTGGACCCAGATCTCACGGTTCCTCGTGAGACTGCATCACACCAAAACGGTTGCGATTAGTGCGATCTCGCAAAAACTCATAGAGAAAAGCACCGCAGTTAAGATCTGCCTCATCTACCCAGATTGGATCTTCATATCCACGCCAGTGTACTAGAAATTCTCGATAGATCCGTCCATATCTAGTCCTCTTACCAGTCCTCATATCGGAAATTCGCTCCACTTCGTATTCATCTGGATCCCGTTTCTAAATCCAGCTGTCTTCAGGTAGGAGAGCTTCATCGAAGTCCACCCGATCTGCTTCTGACTCATCTAGACGAGCTACTGGTCGATCTGGGAATATCTTGACCAGTTTGATATTCGAAACGTGCACTACCGGGAAAATGCTGTATGTTGATCCTGCGACCTTCAACCTCACTGTGTATTCCCCGATCTTTTCAGCGACGCGGAATGGACCATGCCACAAGTGCGCCAGCTTTTTTGCATATCCCTCACGCACTCGATCTAGGTATAACCAGACTCTTGATCCAGACTCTACAGGATGAGGACGTACTAGATCATTATGCATGTCGGCCCGATCCGCGATCGCTTCGCGTAAACGTTGGTTCACTTGTTCTCGAGCTTGTTGATAGTACCTTTGCATCCGATATCGCCATCTTCTTGGATCTCGATCATGCCTGCGAGTGCTCCCCACCGGGATCACCGCTTCCAAGGTAGATCTAGGATCCCAACCATGTATCATGTAGAAAGTGGTCTCGCCTCGGATCCGATCACTTGCAGTGTTGATCGCGAAGGTGAGCCGTTCAACGTATTCGTCCCAATCTCGTTGTTCAGATCCTGCATATACATCTTAAGAGCCCTGGTAGTTGTCTGGACCATACGCTCTGCGGATCCATTAGGTTGGGGTCGATAAGCCTTAGTAGCACGTTGACGTTGTCCTAAGATCTTGTTGAAGTACTTAAAGAAGTCAGACATAAAGCCTGGCTCCCGATCATGCCGGATCACCTCGCTCGCACCAAATCTGCGGAAGACGCATTCTTCGTAGGTCTCCGCGATTGTTTGAGCGGATCTCGAGGCGCTGGCTTTGGCGATCACATATCCCGAGAATAGATCCACGATGATCAACAGTTTGGTGTTGTCATTGAAGGATCAAGACAACGAAGGTATGTGATCCATGGCAATGATCTGGAACGGGAATGTTGCCTGAAGGTTACCAGGTGATTCACGCTGGATCCGAGGTCGTTCTTTGCCTGTTTCGCAATCAACACATTCTCCTACATATTGCTGTACACTCTTATATAGCCCTCTCCAGTGGAAATGATCACGGATCCGATCATAGGTACGACCGATTCCTTGATGACCGCCCTGCAAGCTCGTGTGGTAGCGATGCAAAACGTCCTGTTGAAGAGTCTCAGGCACCACCAAAGCGTCAACTTGTCTCAATCTGCGGCAGCCTCCTTAGTCGCCGGGCAATAGAAGAGTTGATCCGACTGATCCACTTCGTAATTTATGGCAATAGATCCAAACACCTTAGCCTCTTCTTGTGTCAGATCTCGGATCTCTCCGACCAAATACTTCTTTACCCTGAGATTCACGGCTCCTCATCCTGTGCTTGTCGGATCCGCTCGATCCTCAGCTCTCTCACAACCTCCTCACGTAATGAGTCTGGATCTGATCCGATACGCACTCCAGATCTAGCCTTAGATCGGGTCGTTACGGCCGATATCTGTGCGATCTCGTTTTCGATCTTCACCATCAGGATCTCATCCAACCGGTTCAAGGTCACTAGGTCCTGGATCTTCTCTTCGGTCTCGACCTCGATCCCACATTGTCGTTGTAGTGAGGCGCTGGCCAAGCTGTCAGCGCTCCCATTCCAATCTCGCTTAACATGCAATAGCTCGTGATCCGGCCGAACGCGGAGTCGATCCAAAGCCCGCTGGCGCAACAGTGTCAAACCCGGCGCCTTGCAGTCGATCTCACCCCGTACTTGGCGGATCACCAGGTTTGAGTCTCCGCAGATCACCAGACGTCGTGGATCCAGATCTTCTAACAGATCCAAACATAGCAACAACCCCTCATTCACCGTCAAGCCTTCGGCGTACCCTGATCTAGCCTTCAGCACTCTCCATTCGGGCAGCTTCCACAGGATCGCGCTGTAGGCGCCTCCACCTCTCTTGACACGGGCCGATCCATCAAAACTGACGACGTATAGCTCCTCATCTCGTTTAATAGTGGGGATCGGAGCTTGGATCTTGCGTCTTGGCTTCTTTTTAGAGGCAATGGAGATCAATGCTTTATCCACTTCGGATCTAGGGGTAATACTGGCCGCCAGTGCTCCTAAGATCTCGTCCTCTCCTTTGACACACTTGGTGGTCTCAAGTGTCCAGGGCGACAACAGAGCAACCCACTGTCCTAGACGTCCTTGTAGGGCTGTGGATCTGAAGAGCCACGCCAATGTCGAGTGTCGGGGCAACACATGGATCGGACGCCCGACCAACGCATTGTAGTTAAGATCCAGGATCCTTAGAAGGGCTAGTACCTCCTTCTCTGTGATTCAGTAATTCAGCTCATTTGACTTCAAGGTACGGCTAGCAAACATCACGGGGTAGTAGATCTTGTCATACTCCTGCATCAATGATCCTGAAACAGCCCAGTCGCTGGCATACACTACAATCGTAGCACTTCGATCTGGATCAAAGTGCCGTAAGATCGGTGTAGTAGCGATCTTGGCCTTGAGCACACTGAAGGACCGGTAGGCGTGGATCCAACGCGGATCCACTTCGGTAAGATCTTGCGCCTCCAGATCCAAGGTCTTTCGATGGTCGATCACTTGATCTTCCTGTGACCCTTGATCCACGCTTTCCACCTCTAGTATCCGTTGGATCTGCGCTTGGGTGGTGTCTTCATCATGGCAGCGAAGTCGTTTTTCCGTAACTCGTACAGGACCGACGCATAAATCGCATAGTCCTCGATGAACCGACTGTAATAGTTCAGACTTCCCAAAAATGACTGCATAGCTCTGAGTAATCCTGGAAATGCTAGAGCTGTCAGTGCCGACAGATCCTTCGGATTCGCCTCCAGTCCATTGTAAGAGACCTTATGGCCGAGATGTTCCACCTTAGGCATTCCCCAGAAACTCTTGACCACACTGATCGACAGATTCCACTTATCGCACGCCTCGAGAAAGCCTTCGACTCGATCACATAGTTGATCCCAGTTTTTGGCTGGGATCCGGATGTCGTCGATATATGATCTACGCCCAAGCACCGATGGCTTGCCTGGATCCACGGGTTCCCCATCTTCAAACACATCCAAAGCACCTCCGTGATCTTCAGACTTCGGGATCCGGGTGAATCCATATAGCGCGTTGTCGATCATACGTTGATATATAGATCTGGGGCGCATTCTTCAAGCCGATAGGCATCCGATTCCACTCAAATAACCCAAAGGGAGTGATAAAAGCCGAGATCAAGCGAGCACGATCCGTCATTTTCACTACCCAAAATCCGCTCGCCATATCCAAAGAACAGTACCAAGTGTCGCCTCCAGATCTTCAAGTAGGTCGTTGATCAAGGGCATTGGGTGGATCATCAGCTGAGTTAAGCTGTTAACCAGCCGATAATCGATACACAACCTGATATCCACTCCATTCTTCTTGACGATCACCACGATCGGGGAAGCCCGTGGT